GGGGGGGGGATGGGGAGGTAGAGTGGGGAATGCTGTAATTGCTTAGTTTTAATTTTATGATGTATGCTTGGGAATTTCTGGAACCTATAACCAAGACAAATATTGCTGGTACAAGAAAAGGGAAAAGAAAATCTTAGAGACCATAATTATCTTAAAACTGTGTATAACTAAAAGACAAGTAAAGGATAAAAAGCCCCATCAGCTGCCTAAGATATATTATATAACCACCCAGCAATTTATCCATCATCCTTTGAAAACATATTCATGCCTATTGTAGTCAAAGCTCCTTCAGGAAGTCAGCATTAAGATGTAATGTTGAAAAATTACACCCCTTAGAAAATCCTATAGAACAATATACATGATGTTGTTAAAGCTTTTAAAAACACATTGGTAAGTATTTTTCAGTTAACTTTTTTTATCTAAGAGAATGTTCGTAATCATCTCAAATACAGTGATAAGTATTCTCTGAAATTTTTCTATGGAATGTTTTGTAAAATAGCAAAAATTAGAGTTTTAAGTTAAAATATTTGTGTTTATCAGTAGGTAGGCTGATTTTTTTTAGAAATAAGAAATATATTCACACACGTACATACATAATTTCTTTAGAACTTGAAAATGCTGCATTTTTCTATTATATACTTTGCATAATTTTAAACAATATATGTTAATATTTATAATGTGATTTTCAGAAGTAAAATTAAATGCTATTTCTTAATATACTAAGGTGAGTGTTAAAGCTTAATTCAAATACTTTTAGTGACGACATGCTTGTGTTGATTATATTCATGCAGGAAGAGATGTCTAATATCTAGAACAAAGGGTTAATTCCTGACTTATGGAATTAACTTTTTGAGTTATATCTTTTATACATTATGTACTATCCAAAATCTACTACAGTTAGAATAAAGAGGGAGGTTAGGATGATTTTAGGAGCTTAAATGTTTTACTTTTTAATATGCATTCAAGATAAGTAATGGTTATAGGCAGGAATATCGATAACTTATCTTGATGTTTACTAAAGGTTTACAGAACATATTTTTTAACATCAAACATACTAATAAGCAAATAGCCCATATTTAAAAGCATTTATTATGAAAGTACCCATATCTAATATAGACAAAGTCTTTCATAATTGAAAATGAATTACCTTATATTAACCCATGAATCCTGGAATAAGTAACAGTTTATTTAAAATAAACCATATCAGGGGCACCTAGGTGGCTCAGTTCGTTAAGCATCTGACTCTTGATTTCAGCTCAGGTCAGGATCCCATGGTTCCCAGGTTTGAGCCCCGTGTCAGGCTCTACACTGACAGCATGGAGCCTATTTGGGATTCTCTGTCTCCCTTTCTTTCGCACTTCCCTGTTTGAGCACTTGCACATGTGCTCTCTCTCAAAATAACTTTAATAAAAAATAAATTGGGGCTCCTGGGTGGCTCAGTCGGTTAACCATCTGACTTCAGCTCAGGTCATGATCTCGTGGTTCGTGAGTTCCAGCCTCATGTCGGGCTCTGTGCTGACAGCTCAGAGCCTGGAGCCTGTTTCGGATTCTGTGTCTCCCTCTCTCTCTGTCCCTCCCCCCTTCCTCTCTCTCTCTCTCTCTCTCTCTCTCTCTCTCTCAAAAAAAAAAAAAAACATTAAAAAAATTAAAAAGAAAATAAACTATGTCATATTAGATGAATTAATATAGCAACAAAATATTTAGTATTGAAGTATGAAAATTTAGACTAATATCTTCAGAATTCTTTTTTTCTGCACTTTAAATCTGTAAGTAAAAATCAGAATATCTCAATAATTTAGAGCATTTTTACATATCCCAAATATTAGTCTGTTACCCAAATAATGAACTCATTTATTAAGATCTTATTTATTGTACCTTGTATCTTTTGCTTTGTTTTTTGTTTGTTTGTTTAAGTTTATTGATTTATTTTGGGAGAGAGAGCAAGCAGCGTGGGGGCAGAGAGAGAGAGAGAGAGACAGAGAGAGAATCCCAAGCAGGTTCCATGCTGTCAGTGCAGAGCCTGACATGGGGCTTGAACTCATGAACCATGAGATCATGACCTGAGCTGAAATGAAGAGTCAGAGGCTTAACCAACTGAGCCACCCAGGTGCCCCTGGTTTTTTGGTTTTGATTGAGAAAAGATATATTAATTGATTTAGAATTGGGGGCACCTGGTGCCTGAGTGGCTCAGTTGGTTAAGCATCTGAATTTGGCTCAGGTCATGATCTCACAGTTCGTGGGTTCAAACCCTGCATTGGGTTCTGTGCTGACAGCTCAGAGCCTGGAGCCTGCTTCAGATTCTGTGTCTCCCTCTCTCTCTGTCCCTCCCCTGTTCGTGATCGCTCACTCACTCTCTCACACGTGCGTGCAAAAATGAGTAAACATTA